AGTAAAACAATTGATAGTGTCAATCAAGTTCACGGTGTACGAACCGAAACATTTAGTTTTGATTATCAGCCAGACTTAAACGATCATCCAGGACCAAGTCCTAGTGTTTTACTTCAAGCATTAACTATGTCAAATGCAAATGATGGAATTAATTTGGAACGTTTGGAAACAATCGGAGATTCATTTTTAAAATATGCCATTACTGCTTACTTATACTGTACTCACGATAATGTTCATGAAGGTAAACTGAGCCATCTTAGATCAAAACAAGTCAGTAATTTGAATTTGTATCGTCTTGGTAAACTAAAAATGTTTGGTGAACGTATGATATCTACAAAATTTGAACCCCATGATAATTGGCTACCACCTTGTTATTTTGTCCCGCATAAATTAGAAAAAGCTCTTATTAATGCTAGTATACCAACAACCTTATGGAATATGATAACACTTCCAACATTTAAGGATCCTACAGATAAAGAAATTGAAGAAGTTATCCAACAGTTCAAAGTTGGCTTCTCAAATGAAAACATAGAAAATACCCCTTTATTTGTGCCTTACAACCTCGTTACTCAACATAGTATTCCTGATAAAAGTATTGCTGACTGCGTAGAAGCTTTAATTGGTATAGTAAATATAATTATTAATCAGTATAATCACCAATATTTTTGTAAACATTTTTTTTTTTATAGGTGCTTATTTGATATCTTGTGGTGCTCGTGGAGCATTACTATTTATGTCTTGGCTAGGAATAAGAGTATTACCTTCGCTAGATGATTCAAAATTAGGTTATCTCAAACCGCCATCCTCTCCACTTCTACGTAATGTTGACAATCCTGAAGGTGAACTCATAAAGTTAATGGATGGATTTGAATCTTTTGAACAGCATTTAGGATACCGTTTCCAAGATCGTAGTTATCTATTACAAGCCATGACTCATGCTTCTTATTATCCCAATCGTTTAACTGATTGTTACCAACGATTAGAGTTTCTGGGTGATGCAGTTTTGGGTAAATAAAATAGTATATAATAGTTGTTTTTAATTTTAATTTTAATTTTAAATTTTAGATTATTTAATTACTCGACATTTATATGAAGACAAACGACAACATTCACCTGGAGCTTTGACAGATCTTCGTTCAGCACTAGTCAATAATACAATTTTTGCATCACTAGCTGTTAGAAATGGTTTTCATAAGTATTTTAAACATTTATCTCCAGGCTTGTCTGAAGTTGTTTGTAGATTTGTAACCATACAAGAAGAGAATGGTCATGCTATTGATGAAGAGGTACCTAATTGTTATTCAAACATATTTATTTAATATACATATTTTAAACTAAATTAATATTTTTGTGATGGATATTTATGGTAAAAGTTATGCTTCAAAAGGAAAGGCTGACTTCTGTTGACATATAATCGATATGCCACTTTAAAGAAATTATTTAATGTTTAAACTATACACATTTTTACAATAGTATTTGTAGTTAAAATATTAAGACTAACATTTTAATACAACATTACTTATATTATATTCAAGTGTTTTCAAAATCAAATCTCATCAATACTAGATCTCTACTCTAAATCATTTTTTGTAATTGCAATGATATGTCATTGCTCTCAAATAATATAATGCCGAATCAACTTAATTTTTAGTATATAATATCTAAACTTTTAAAACAATTTTTAGTTTTATTTCTTGGGAGAAGATGATTGTGAAGAAGCTGAAGATGTTGAGGTGCCTAAAGCCCTTGGTGACGTTTTTGAATCGGTTGCTGGAGCAATTTATTTAGATAGTAATATGTCATTAGATACAGTATGGAAAGTTTATCATAAAATAATGGAAAATGAAATGGGTAAGGGTACATATTATAATCACTTAAATAATATTATATTTTTAAGCTAATTGCTTCAAAAACATGTACTTGTTTATGTGCAGTTTGAATGATTTAGTATTTTTAAAATAATTTGTGTATACTATGTTAGTATAGCTGTAAAAAACCTAGTATTATTAAGTAACAAAAAATGCACACAAAATAATACAAAACAAATACTTAAATATGACTGATTCTCTGAGTGAAGCATGTAAGTTAGTTATTACATTAAAACTGCTATAAATTTGAGTATCTATGTGATGTCAACACAACACACAAGTATTATGTTTGAAAGGGCGTTGCATACATGTTATTATTATTATTATAATATAAAATTATGTAACGAATACCTATTAATTATTTATCATATTATAATCAATTTTAAACATATTAGTTATGGAATCAATTACTATAATAATCAATAACTAATGACTAGGTGTTATTTATTATATTACATAATTTTACTTCTATAAATAAATACTTGCAATTTATTTATGTTATAGAACAATTTAGTAAAAATGTACCAAAATCTCCCATCAGAGAGCTTCTAGAATTAGAACCAGAAACTGCTAAATTTAGGTGAGTAACATTTAAAAGTATTATTTGGTAGTAACACTATGATAGGTTTGCTGCTGCATATAACGTGCATATTAAATGTCATTTGAACTATTTTTAGCTGTCGTATAATGTATGGGTGTTGGAAACTTTTGTCAACTACTATTACTTATTCAGTAGGATTTAATTTTGTTTGCATTAGAGAAAGACAATTTTTTTATCAAAGCATATATTACATTTTCTATGTATAAATGTTTGGGAGAGGTTCTAAGGTGGTTGTTATATTTAGTTGAATTTTTTTTTTTAAACCTATTTTTTCCATAAACTGTGAAGTATTCATTAAAATTAGAAGTATTGATTAGAGTAATTATTGTTACTTATTTGTAAATATTTTGTTATAATGTAAATTACAGTCAAACAGCATTTTACCTCAAAATATTTTGGACACTTGATGCTTAATTGTGCCATTAAAACCGGTTTTTGTATGTAGTAGAGTACTTGCATATAACCTTATACATAGAAAATGTGTTAAGTTCTAAGGATATTTAATATTATAAAAGATGGATTTTTTTCTATTATTTCTAGTAAACCAGAAAAGCTGGCAGATGGTCGACGAGTTCGGGTTGTAGTTGAAATATTCGGCAAAGGAGAATTTAAAGGTATCGGTCGTAATTATAGAATTGCTAAATGTACAGCAGCCAAATGTGCCTTAAAGCATCTAAAGAAAAAGATAAAGAAATAGATGATAGTCTACGTACTTTACATTATACAGTATTAATTGGAAACAAGTACATTAAGTTATATCTATGAAAGTATGATATTTATTTTAAAATTAATAAGTTACTATATTCAATTATTGATTATTTTAATATTTATATAAATTATTTTAATTGTATTTGAAATACTTTAATTTTTATTCAATAAAAGTATTCATTTTTTGTATAAAAATTTTAAATAATTGATCATTTGTTTTTTTCTTTTACTTTTTAGATTTTAGATCTCGGTCATAGCGATAAATGTATTGATTTTGTCATGATGTGTTTTTTTAATTTTTGTGTCTGAAGACAAAAAATGTTTTTATGATTTCTAGTTAGTACTTTTGAGAGGTCAAAGTAAAAATTTTCAGTATTTTTTAAATAAAATCAGGAAAAACTAAAAATAAATATAAGCATTTGTTAAAAATCTAAAATTGTTAGTAAAAAGTTATTGTATAACCTTTGTTACCGAAAAAAATTCTTTGAGTTTTTCCTATAAATGTCAATAGCATATAAAAAATATTTATTTAGATATTTTTCCTCTACGAGGGAATCTATGAATCATAAATATGTTTTTGTTAATAAGTAACCATAACAACAGAAACCTTACAAAAAGTTGGTCAGGAACAAAAATCATGTATCCTGCCCATCATTGATGCCAAACTCTAAAAATTGTTGTCAAGCAAAATCCTTTTTGTCTAAATTTAAAAAGTGAATCTACGGTTTCTCATGATTTAGAGTTCAGAACCACCGCTGCCTATTAACATATTTATGTTAAAAAATATATTATATTAGCTGATCTCTTGCACTTTGTTGCCGTTAAAAATGTTAACTCTATATGAGACTTGGTGGTGATAATGCGAGCAGTATATTATGCCTACCTGCTGTGGATTGCGGACCCCGCTTGATGAGTACTTTATACAAATAATATGTTTTATTTTGATTTTGATTGCGGACACGCCGATTAGCGGCTAAAGTGCAACTCAGCCACCTTGGTAGGCAATGTGCGAAAATTCAATTGTATGCATGCTTGTACCTGATCTGCCCGATGAACCACTGCAGGCAACCAATAAACAAAAAAAAATACCAATTGCTACTAAATATATTTATATATCCCCAGATCGGACCTTTCGAGTCCAATTGTGAATCTAAACCATCCAGGACGTTACTTAAACGCATACAAAAAAATTCATTCAAAGTTCAGTGACATACCCCCGTATAGTAGAAATATATATAAAGATTTGTAATATAGGCTGACAAACCTTATTTAGCCCAGAATTGTTTTTCGTAAGCAATGATTTATTTTTGAATTCAAATTTAACATATATATTACAGTAACTTACTCAATTATGAAGTATACTCGATATCTACTATACAGCAGAGCCGTTAACTACTTTACCCCTTTTTTAAAAATATATTAAAAGTGAAAGTTAACGTTTAAAAATGATTGCAGTGCATTAATTTAGATACACCTACTACAATAATATAGAAAGTAGCTTAAATGTAAAACAAGTATTATAGCTTTGCATTATAATATTGTGTAATACATTTTACATAATTTTATGCAGTATTACCTAATACAATTTAACAAAATTATGTATTTTTTCAACAAAAAAAATATTTTTTGGAAGGGGACAGCATAGTGCATAATTTAAAAATGTAAAAAAAAATAAAAGTTTTTTTACTATTGGGTTGATGAGAGCTGGATTTAATTTAGGTTTGCTCTACAATTAATATGATCAAATACATTAAGGGTAGTTCTTAAAATGTTCGGTTAGTATACAACATGTGTAACTGGAAGTCTATTAGTTATGAAAGTGGTCTCATTAAAAACAAGTATTATTTATTTAAGAAATGAACTTATTGCATTTTCTGCCAGGGTTACATGATATTATTATTATGAATAAAAAATAATTCATGAACTAATACATTTAAGTCACTTAAAAAGTAACAATAATATAGACTTTACAAAAAAACATTTACACATTACAAAAATATTTGAATTAGTTATTTAAAATTTTAAGTACGGTATTATTAGTACAAACTCATAACATATATTATAATTGTTTCATATTAAAATAAAAAACTAAAATGTATAAAAATATACTATAGAATTAGAAAAATTTAACTATACAAAAATAGTTCTACAATATTTAAGTAACAGAGTGTTTGAAATTTATCACAGTATAATGATAATTATTAATAATATGAAAACTTAATAACTTAGACAAGTATATAACTTTAAACCAATAATAAAAGCTAAGCCATTTTTGTGGAAATAACTAGTTACATATTTAAAATCAAATTTCAGTTGGTATAAATTTAGAAAACTGATACCCTACTCATTAAAACCAATCATAAAATGTTTAACCCACTTAGGGTATGAATAAAACAAAAATTTAATTTACATTAGAACTTATTATTCGATATTTCTTCAACAGATTTTAATTCTAGTACGGAATTAAAACTTTTACCATCGACCAAGTGCTTGAGACCTTCACCACAGTAAGATAATAGAGGAGAAATTTCACATTCAATGTTTTCTGTTGTAAATTTTCCTCCAGATTTTTCAACAAATTTTCTATGAAGTGAAAATACATCCAATCGTGCAGTTTTAGGGTTATCTTTACCATTAGGCACATCTGCATTCTTCAAAGCGCTAAATTCTTCATTTCTTTCTACTTCCCAAACAGCAAGACGGTTACAAAATTCAAATACATCAAATATAAATTTTTCCATTTTGATACCATTTGGTTCTTCTGGTTTACATATGATACCATCATCATTCACATAAGATATTTTTTTTTTAGCCACATGCAATTTTAATTCACTATTATATTTATGTGCAACATTGTTTAAAAAATCTGTTGTAAAAAAATGATTGCAAATATTACCAGCACTAAAGGTTAAACGACCGTCAGGATTTCTTTTTTCAGCTGTTTTTTCAGTTATTTCACTATATTCAACAACTTGAAATTTTCCATCAACTTCACATATAACACCTAGAGGCTCTGAAGGATATGCTTTTTCTACAACTTTAGCCCCACATTCGGCATTTTTTGTTATGCAGTACCCAATAAATATTGGATCAGCTACTTTAACTAATATATTATCTACACTATGAGCATGGAGGTACTCAACACCTAGCCTTTTAATCTCATCAAGTACATTACGATCACGTAAAGCTTTATATATACCTCCATTACCATCTGGAGATTTAGATATTTTATTTATACCTTCCATAATGATTTTACCATCAAATGTAAATGCTGGCAACATATACTGTTCAAAAAATATAATTTTTTTTTCATCTAAGCCAAAATAATTATTTTCCTTGAAGTATTTACGAGTAGGTTCCATAGTATGTTCACTAGTCATTATAAACCAAGGTAAACCTTTACTGCTTCCAAAATCTTTATTTGCTAGCCTAATTAGGCAACGAATACGTTCCCCTTGTATACGGTATAACGATTTATGAGAAGGCAAACCGATGTCATACATACCTTTAGGGTAGTTAACTCCAAGCCTTGTACCTTGCCCTCCAGCCATTAACAAGACTCCAACTCTGCCTTGAGATATCTGTTCAAGTCCAATTTGCTCATATTTAATTAAAAGTTCTTTTGGGCTGCGGTTCACAGCACCATATAGTTCAGCGGGTATAGGATTCATTCTATTATCCAATTTTTGTTGATTGACATTCATAGTTTCAACAGTTTTTTTAAACATTCCAACTACTTCAGGAATGTTCAGTTCGCGAATATCTTTCAGCAGAAATTCTTTTTCTTTTTCATCGAGTCTGTTCCAAAATTTAACAATATGTTCTTGATCATATTTTTTAAGCAATGCAATTATAGAATCAAAGTCAGACATTATGAACACTAATTGAAACTATAGTATGAAATAATTTTTTTTTTAAATAACTTTATTATGTACAAATGTCTGTATGTCTGCATCCAACAACTATAAACAGTAGGTTACAAAACAACTGCCAAACTGCCAAGTGGACAGAGGCTAGTGGCCACTGCAGCTGACTATTTTTTTCATAAGTGAGTGGCGAGTACAGCCTGCAGCATTGCAGGACACGTTGAGCTTAATTCTTCCACTTTTTTCACTTTCTATAATAATTTTATGGCGGTTAGCTGATAAAAACATAATCAAACTAATCAAAGAGATTATATTATCACAGAATAACTGTTATTCTGTGATATTATTAATATCTATTATTTGTCTATGCTTTTATCTACATCGTGCACAGTATCACGTTTTAAGATAGTACACAAAATAAGTAAATAATACCATATTGTTATTTTGTTTTATATTTCTTGTATTTTTGTCAGTTCATTGGTCGTCCAACGATTTAAAATATAATATTATAAATTATAATGTATATTGTATAACATTGTGTATAGTGGTTCATGCTAATACCACAGATCATATTAAAATTATATAAATATAATCTGTGCTAATATCTTAATTTAACGGTATAAAAAGTTAATAAATATTATTATTAGACATCAGCACCTATTAATAACTTGTTATTTACCTTTTGAGATAGTGAAACCTCCAGAGATGGAACAAAAGTCAGATCAAACTGTTGAGTTAGAAACCGAAGTTATCTTAAGAGTTCCATCGGTAATACATATTCAAATTTGCATCTACTAAATATGTCTATATTCGTCAATATTGGCCAGTTATTACTTGAGATAAATTTGTATTTGATATTATATAAAGTCTTTGTACTGTTTGTAGAGAACGTTCTTTAACACAGCAATATTACAATATAATATTTGGTTTTAAAAATTATAATGATAATACATTTTTAATTAAATTTTGTGTTTTAGGAAGCTGCTGGTGTGTTAAGAGAGTTAATAAAAAAAGATGCTAAAGAACAAATAAGTATAAAATTAGAAAATGATATTCGCAGAGGTGAAGTTGTTATCGGCAATCATCATCTATTTGCAAAGGTTTATTTACTTAATATAATACTTAATATCTAAAAACATTTATTTTATTATTATATATGTTGAGTGGCAAAGCCAAGGGGTGTAATCCATTTATTACACATATTTTACATAATATTTGGAGCCATTTTTTGTGTTATATCATTTTGCTGTTTATAGGTTGTTGACTTACCAACTATTATTGAAGGTCAAAAAACAATTGACAACAAGACTGTGTATAAAACTGCAGATATATGCCAGGTAAAAAAAATAATATACCTAATACAGAACTAGTAAGTGAATATTAACTTTGGGGATGGAAGATGTAGTATCTATGTGTCCCACCTAATTTTTTTTTACATCTCCAAGAACTTGCATATTTTCTGGAATGTTTTATTCAGAACAGTTGAGATGTTATATATTGACATAAAAATTATAATAATTATGATAATCGGTTTTATTCAATACTCTTTTTAAAACATTTTAGTAGTTTGCTTATTACCTACTAATTGTATAATGGTACATTTACCTTATGTTTAACTAATATAATTATTTTCCTAGATGATTATATGCAAAGAAAATGAAGAATTTTTACTATCTGATGAAGATGAGAAAACAAAAGTTTTTAAAAAAAAAGAACCTAATAAAGTTGATAAAAAATATTTGTGGCCACATGGTGTAACACCACCATTAAAAAATGTACGAAAACGAAGATTTCGGAAAACCCTTAGAAAAAAATATGTTGAAGCCCCAGAAATTGAAAAAGAGGTTTTACTCAATTAATTGTTATTTATAAGTTATTTTACATATATATTTAAGTGTACTATTATATTTTCCTAGGTTAAATATCTTTTAAAAAGTGACAGTGAAGCTCTCAGTGTTAAATGGGAAGTAGTATCTGAAACAGAGGTTCAAAACAATAGAAAAATGAAAGAAGAACCTTTTATGCAAGGTGAAATGCATAATGATCTAAAGCAAGACATTGGTATTGTTTATAGTTTTTATAAAATTGAATTTACATTTTTACTCTGAATACAATATTCTCAGAGTAGTAAATTCATTTACTTTATTTGTTTACATCACATTATTATTTATTTACATTTTTTTCTATCAGCCGAAAGAGATATTTTTGGTGAAGCTCTCAGTGATTCAGATGAAGAGGCTGGTAATATAAATATAATGGATATGGATGAAGATATGAGTAATGACGATAGTCGTTTCTCTGATACTAATTCATTAATGGTAAATTTGAATTAAATTATCATTAACATTGGGGAAGTTGTTTTACTGTATAGTAGGTTTTGGTATACCTGATCATTGAGTAAGTGACTGCAGTGGATGTAATAAACAGTTTGAATTCAGTGATAAATCATTGCATACGAAAAACTATACTGAGTGAAGTCTGTATGTTAATATACTCAATGCTAAGAAGGAACCTCGGCATCAACCATTTTTTGTCGGGCGGGGGTCGGGCAATACCCGTTTGTCACCCCCACCAAGTCAACTATCTGTATAGTTATGATACGCCCCTGCGCATGAATCGGCCGCTGAAGTTCCTCTTAACATAAATGGAGTATAGTTAGTTTTTATTTCAATGCATATTTTATAATTTATTTATATTACTTACTAGTAAGTAAATTTATTTTTCTATAAATAGAATGTTGCTCGAATTGTTCCAAAAACCTTGTATATATATTATTGTTGTGAACTTAAGAGCCAATACTACACTCTGATGAACTGTAGAATAGTGCAATAGGTTGTGGTATAGTTGTTTAAAATTTTTTTAATACTTTACAAGCCATTTAGGCCTTTTGCATCTTCCTCCAAGTTTCTCCATCCATTCCGTTCCATCGCATCATCCAATAATTTTGATTTGTAGGCGTCTAAAATATCTTTCTTCACCCTATCTAACCATCTATGGTGAGGTCTTCCTCTTGTTCACTTTTTGGGAGGTTTTTGATTAAGACGTTTCTTGTAAGACTCGACAGCTTGTCAAACGTGACTAGCCCACTCCAAGCCTTTTGCTTTCAGGAATTATCTAATATTCGGCTTGTTAAAAAACATTTCCAGATCTTCATTTTTTCTTCTTTCATATTTGCCATTTTGAAGTCGAACAGGATTTTCTTTTCAAAAAAGAGTAGTTTTTATCTCTTCTTCCTATGTTGTGGGCCATGTTTCACATGCATACATAACTATTGGCGTAGAAAAAAATTATACTGTTTCTCTTTTGTACCTTTGGACCTTAGTCTAGAGCTAAGAATCTTATTCATGGCAAAATATGCTGTATTTGCACTATTTATTCTTAATTGGATCTCATTAAGCATATTATTTTTTTGTGTTTATGTTGACTCCAAGGTATTTAAATTCATCCACTCGTTCAAAGGAGTAAGGACCCACTTTTAGTTCTATTTTATTTACTGAACGTCGAGTAATTTGTATGTATTTTTTTCTTTCCTCATTGATAGTAAGATTTATTCTGTGGCTGAACTCTATTAATTTATCCATGGCCTTAGTTGTTGTTCTGCTGATACTATCGTAGACTTGTTTGAATTCTACAAAAATCATGAACACATCTCTATCATATTCGTAGAACTTCTCCATTATTTCCTGGATAATGAAAATCTGGTGTGTGGTTGACTTCCCTCTTGTAAATTCTCACTGGTATTTCCCAATCATGTCTCAAATGTATGTATAATATAATCAATTTAACACTGAAAGGGATAGCGCCTTGTAACTTGTGTCTAATAATGAGTTTCCTTGGTAATTTTCAACTTTAGATGTGTCTTCCTCTTTAAAGATTGGACGGATGATTGCTGTGTTCTAGTCTTTAGGAATTTTTTCATTAACCCATATACTTCCAATTAATTTCTGTATCTGTGTTGCTAAGTATGGTCCTGCTAGCTTAAGAAGTGTTAACTGAGTTAATATTCTTTAGCTGGTGCTTTGTTGTTCTTCAGGAAGTTGATGATCATCTTAATTTTGTCGAGATTTGGCTCCAGTAACTTCCATTGCATTGTGTCGTATATTATTTGTTCTTAAATATCATTTCGGTTCACTACTTGTGTTGTTTAGGAATTTTTCTAAGATCACCTATGGCTTGCGTTCCCATAATCATCAGACTTGGTGCAGTTTTGAGATTTGTATCCTTAATTTACATTGCTTGAAAAACAGTCCGTGATTCATTTTAGTAGTTTTCAATGTCCTCGATCACTTTCTTTTCTGCTAACCTCTTTTAGCATCTTACTACATTGTTGGCTGTGTTTATCGCTTCTTTATATGCTTGTATGTTTTCCTCAGTTTCGTCTTGCAACGTTTGTAATCTGCATGTACTGCTACTTTTTATTAAGTCTCGGCAAGTTTATCAAACCAATGTTTTTTGGGGTTTGGGGTTTTTTTCTTGAAGAGTACTTGCTGCTTCAGTAGCTGTTCCCAGATCGGTTCAATTTATAATTCAACTTCAATTGTTGGTGATTTACTTAACTCTTTATAAATTCTGACTTGATATCTATGTAATTCTTTTTGGTCAGTGGCATTAATCCAGTTGAACATTTTTTGACTCCTTTTTTGTTGTTGTTTCCCTCTCTAGCTAACTGATAGTTTTTCATGAAAATGTATAACAACAAGGTAGTGGTTCTTTGTCTGCATTCGCTCCCCTATAGCTCTTTACGTTACTTATACAATATTTATGTAGCCTTTCTATTGTAACGTGGTCAATTTGGCTTTTATTGAGAGCCAAATTGTTTTAAATTAATCTAAAATATTTTAAGAATTGAATTAGGTATAGAAAATAATAATACGAGTATAGGTACTAAATGGCAAAAAGTTTCAATTCTGTATGATTAATATTTTTGGAATTACAACTTAATAACTAGAAAAAATAGTAGAGGAACAATTGTTATTTTTCATTTAATAATCAAGTTGTAGTTAAGTATTTTTGAATTTTTTTAATTGCTGTAGGAACATCTTATGAAGGACTTTGTATTGACTGTGTATTGAGTGTTTTGACAGAGTTTAAAATTTTTTATCGGTATAGTACAATGTAATTATAACAAAAATTAAACAATATCAAATGTCTATAAATAACACAAAAAGTAACAAAATATTTTAAGAACTTCATAATTTCTAGAAAGTTCTTAATATTTTGTTAAGTACCAGCGATTTTTATCCTAGACCTTAACTAACTAGCATCAATTGTATAACAGAAACCACTCACCAAGTTAATGACTAACATTTTCACTGCTCATTAAGTTTTTTTTTATTAAAAACACATTATTGTAAAACCAATATAATATTATCATTTCTCTCAATCTTATTTCTTAAATATATAAAATAATAATAATTCCTATTTTAGGAGGAAAAACCTTCAATTTCTGGAAACCAAAAACTTGTTACAGAGTTTACTAAAGAAATGTTTATTTCTGATGATAATTCCCATCATGGAATAAAAAAGGAAGATGGAATAGATTCCACCTTTGATGAAAGTATGGGTTATAGAGATGATATAGGTGAGGATCTTAAGTCGGAATTAGAACTTAGCGATGAAAGTAAACTTGGTGATATACCTGTCTTATCAACATTGGTTCCATTAGAAGCTGGAAATGTGTCTGCTGGTAAGTTATTAAAATAATTAATGAATCCCAGATGTATGTATATATTAGTTATCAAACTTTGAATTTGTTTCAGATGACATAAAACTTAAAATTGATCAGTTACAACAAGAAATCGAAGAACTTAAAGAACGTAAAAAACAACAAGATTTGGAAATTGCAAATATTGAAAATATAAATTTAAGAGAACGTTTTATAAGTATATCTAATAATTTACTTACTGAGCAACTAGAAAAAGAACAACAGGTAAACTATATTTTTTTTTTCTCATAATAGTTCATTAATAAAAAAAGTGAATTAAAAATTCATATCATTTTAATATTTATAAATTTACTAATCTATTGTACATGTTTTGGCTTATTTGTTATAGATCCAAGAACTTCAATCATTTATTCTTTAATTTAGACTATTGATTTTATAAGACAACTTTAGTTTTGCCTATAGGCTCCTATATTTGGGAGACGTTAGTTCTCAACGTCTATTTGAAATAATACCATATTTGGAATGAATATTTTAAGAAATATTGAAACATACATCATACTTAAAATATAAAATACAAATTCAAATTTGTAAATATTTTATAAATCAAAATCATTATTTATTCGTCCTGTGTTCTAATTTCCAAGTGGGGAGACATTTGTCTCATTGTCTTCCATGACACTGGTACAATTATAAAATTATTATTAATTTTTAGACTGGTCTTTAATGTTTTAACTTATATAACTATTTTTTTTATTTTTTTAAGTTCTTTTCACATTCTTATTTATCAATGTATTCGTGTATTTAAATAAACAATTGTATATAATAAATATTGATATTTTGTTCACCCAAAATAAATTACATATTTTCAAATAAATATTCTGAAATGTACTTTTTTATACTTGTATAAATCTGATCAATAATTAAATCATGTAAAAAAAAAAACTTAATGAAATCATGTACAAGTTAAAAAATGCTAATGGAATATTAGTCAAAGAAAACAATAAAAAAAATGATTTTTGTATATTTTATACTTTATTAGTATCAAGCATTTTAAAAGTTTTATTTATTTTATTAATTTGATCATCAATTATATTATTTTTATTTATTTATAAGTTGGATATAAATTGACTGGAAAACATTGCGACACCTTATAATATTATATGACTATAGTTATATTTGGTTTGTAATTTGTATCTTAAAAACATATACATTTTTTTAATATAACCTGAGATAAGGTTTTATAATACAAATCTATTGATTGAATATTTAGTGAAAGCAGTTAGCAGAAAAGTCTATTTATTTTTTTAAATATTTTTCAATTCAATCAATTATCACAATATTATATTTACAAATACTATATTATTTAATTTTAAACCTACATGGTGTTACATTGTCAATCTAATTGTTATTCTGCCGATTCTTGTTTAACTATTTCTTTATTTTCTGTATCTGAAATTGTTGAGTCTACAACAGCAGCTTCCTGTTCGGCCTGTTTTTGAGAAGACTCTTCAATAAATTTTTGCATTGATTGTTGCTGATGCTCAATAAATGCTTGCATACATTTTTGATCAACAAACTTAGATTTTTGGACACAATTACTTGCGCATAATGCCTAAAAATATTTAAATAATTTTATATTATACAAATTAATCATGGCAACAATTGTCAATTATTCACTAACCTCTTCACCTGTCAACCTGCTTTGTGATAATGTATACACACATTGCGAAAAACAATCATCTGTTATTTTGTTATAGCTTTGTAAAAATTCTTTAATCTGAAAACAAAAATAAGTATTACACAAAATATTTAAAGAATCAGTTAAAACAATTGATTCCGTACATTTTTTAACTGAACTTCTTCGTCCATCTTAAATGCCTGATGTATTTATTATTTTTACTAGTCGATTAATTATTTCCCATTTACTATTTCAAGTCCAAAACATATTATTCTATTTATTAAAGTTACTAATTACCGAAACCAGACTTTACTAAGAAGTATGAACTTTAATAGTTGATACTAAAACTAAAGGGTTGCGCGTTGGAAAATAGAAAATTTAAATGATCACTTATCAAATCTTATTGGATAGTTATCAATTTCATGGTTTTCGTTAATAACATTCAGTTATATGTTATCAAAGTTTTCAATTAAATCAATATCGGTTTGTTCCTAACATCATGACTGTCTATTTGGAAAATCTGGATGGAAAATTGATTATTTTTACATTTCTAGTTTTCCATTTCCATAAATTGGTAAGTAAATTTAATTCTGGATTATAGTTCTAATTATAATTCTGGAGATGAACTATAAATAATCATTAAACAAAAATGCGTAGCTTGATGATAGGTAGTCCTACCTGTAAGATTCACTTAATTTAGCAGGTAATTTTGTTTGTTTATTTTTCTATAATATAGAGTTTACGTGTTTCTTTAATCGTGATATAAACACAGTTTACTCGTGTCTCATTCTCTTAAACACATCTTAAGCTTTGATATTATCAGTTACTACTAAATATTTAAGTTTTGATGTTGTTTACAGTGTGTATTTAAATGAACAATTTTTAAATATTATTTGGATTGAGTATTTCATTATGTAAATTAACGAATAAATAAATTGATTTAATAGATTGATTAAATAAATTAAAATGTTAAATATCATAGAAAATAATTGATTTTCAATATCTTCACAATATATGAAAACTTAAAAGTTTAGTACTATGAAAATTATTTCTTATGTAAAATATAATAACAATAAATTGTTTTCAAAAATCAGTTAAATTTATTATTTAAAGTTTTTGAATCCAATATTTGTTATAAATTAATTAAATTTATGCTGTTATTTTGTTTAGCCAATTAAATTTGTAATGTCAGTCTTCAGATACACATTTTAGTTTTTAATTCATATATTTTATCTATAGAATTGGTGTACCGAAGACATGTACTCTTTTTCCTATATATATTTAATGTACTTTAAGCTAAGTTCAAGTTGTCTAAATGTGCAGTATTTAACCATATTTTAATGTATTTCCCATTTTATATTGTAAACTGTGATTTAGTTGAACATTGAACTGCAATTGAATAGTTGGTAACTAACCCCACATTCCACAGATTTATCATATACACACAACAGAACATATCTTTGGGTAGTATCTGTCATATAATTTTTGTATGTAATAATAATGATACAAAATCATATTATCTAAGTACATACTTAATAATTGACTCATTGTGCAAACTGCAATATACTTTATTGTGTGTATTATATTACAATAATGCATAATATCTGAGTTTAATAGTGTATGGTTATTACTTATCATTATAGTCTATGAATTTATGGCCTAAATTTTCATATTAGACAAAATGTATGTCAATTATAGAGTTTTTTCTATGGTGGTATATGGTTATTACTATTTTTATTATTATTATTGTTTATAGGTAGTTGTGATAAATTATCAATAAAACAATTCAGTAAATAAAATGTCACGAATTACTATCTCTGGTGATCCTACAGTACATGAATATATTAACAGGAATGCTGAAACAGATAATATGCATCCTGCAATATTAAGATCAGAAATTGAAGCAAGACCTCTGAGACCCAGAACATATGTTCCTAATTCGTTGCCTCTTACCAATACTGCTGGTGAGTTCCACAATTTTTTACAATTTAAGATGTATTCGTTAATTTATGATTTTTTTTTAAGCTCCTCGAGGTTATACACCAAGCCCTACCCAAAATGGTGAAATTCCACATCAAAAATTTCCTTCATCTAAAATTGACGTTATTAAAAATTGGAGTGTATCAACATATAAATGTACTAAACAATTAATCAATGAAAAACTCGGAAAATCATCTAAAACAGTTGATATAGGTATTATTGTAAAATATTGGTACTTTAATTTTTAAAGTTAAAATATTTGATTAATTCATTTTAGAATTGGAGACTGAAATTGAGCAATTGAGAGAAACACAAAAAAAATATGGAAATATTTTGAAATTAGCTAAAAGCATGGCGACACAATTTCAATGTTTTATTTTAACCCAAGTAAGAATTAGATGAAAATGTCATCACCTAATATAACCTCCTAACCAATATATTAACAAAACAGAAAACCAAGCTATTAATTTAAAATAATTAATAGGTACTATATCGAAGAAAATATTACTTATACTTATAATGGTGTATTTTATATTAAAATAATTCTACAACTTAAAATTTTAGGGTGAGCTATGTCTTAATTTTGGTACCAAAACTAGTGGGATACACTGAATAAATAAATGATCACTATAGTTACAATTTTAAAATTTTAATTTTTCTGTACTATGGAAATGTTTTGATGTTAAATTTATTTATATTTTTATAAAGCAATCTCTTGGAGAAGCATTTGCTGAATTGGGTCAAAAATCACCAGAACTACAACAAGAGTTTGTGCAGAATTCAGAAACTCAGAAATGTTTATCAAAAAATGGAGAAAGTCTTTTGAATGCACTCAATTTTTTTGTTTCATCAGTCAACACTTTGTGTAATAAAACTATTGAAGATACATTAATTACCATAAAACAGTATGAATGTGCAAGGTAAATAAAAATTGTACTGATTTTTTATCTCTCTGCTTGGTGCATGAATATTTTATCATCCTGCCAGCAGTATGTTTCTATACAATTGATATATTGTTTATAATACCCATCAAAATATAATTATTTGATGGTTCCTGGGACAATTGTATATTACTATAGAGTTTAAGTACCTACTATAGATATTTATATAATATAATATAAGGTTTTGATTCGATTAATTAATTTTATTAAATAATTGTCTATAAAACTTAGTAATAGTATGTCCCTAAAACCTTAAAAATATCCTATTAGTTTTGAATTATATTATACAATGTATGCGATGGGTGAATTATACGCTGGACTATAACTGGTGGTTACATGATACAATTCATACACTAAGAAATAACCATCCAGTACCATAAAAATTGTAGCTTATAATTTTTGATTGAAGTTCAAAATATTAATTGTTTTTTTAGAATTGAATATGATGCTTATCGTTCAGATCTTGAAATGTTAGCACAAATGCCAAGAACAGATTCTAATACAGTTCGTGTTGGAGATGCACAGCAAAACTATCAACAGCACAAAGAAGAATTTGAAAAATTACGTTCAGATGTGATTGTGAAGTTGAAGTTTCTTGATGAAAATAGAGTAAGCATATTAGCTAAAATAATACTAGTTAGTATTAAATATTAACAATGGTTCCATATTATAATATAAATCATAATTATGAAGACGAAGTGCACATTTTCTTTTTTCTGTTTTTTAAAAATTAATATATTTTATATCAATTTTTTGTTTTAGGTGAAAGTGATGCATAAACAACTTTTGATGTTTCATAACGCAACATTGGCATATTTTTCAAATAATCATCAAGCACTTGAAACCACCTTAAAGCAATTCAATGTAAAACCTAAATCACCTACTGCCCCTTCAGTAGCTGCATCGTGGTTAGAAAAATAATTTAACCTTAAAGGTGGTTCACAAATTTCTTTGTGTTACTTTAAAATTATAAATTCAACTTAAATTTATTTATTTTACACTGTGATGATCTAATTTATTAATACTTTTTATTTTATTGTTTTTGCTTGACATAAGTAAATTTAAACTATGTGTACCTATTATTATCTGAATCGAGTATAGTTATTACTTTTTTTGTATTCACTGTTTTGTTTTGTTTGCTTAGCATTTTGGCTAATTTATTTTTAGCTTTAAAATATATGATTTATTAAACATCATTAAATTATCATTTCCAGTCTTTGTTGACTGCAAGTTATTTATAGATTTTATTTTTATACTTACACATTTATTTATACATATGACACTCATCGTGAAACAGTACAATCAAGTATTTAAATTTTACTACATTAATAGATTCATAAAATAAAATGAAATATAACTAATTTAATACACTAAAAGATTGATAGGATAAGATAATTCTTCATTTGTTATCTTAATAGAATCGTACTTTGAGTTCCTCACTCATGCATTATGTTTTTGATATACATACGTTACTAATACATATTAAATATTTCCTTTTTATTTATTAGGTAAGTTTTAAAGTGGACACGGGGCAGAAAAATACTTTTTAGACTGTTCAAGACAAATGTCTCGAATGTCTTAATGTGCAGATAGAATTAAGATAGTTTTCTATAATAATATGCTAAAAGCTAGGAGTACCTCAAGTTTAAGTTAGGTCCAAACAATGGTTAAGAGTGGTGATTAAAGCAAAGGTTTAAACTGTCCAATAATAAGCCATACAAATTAGCTAAAACAAATACATTTTTGAAAAATGTGAAAAAAATGTAAATATTTTTTGTACCTACTAAATGTTTTGTAATGAAATATAAATTATATTATTGTTTTACATTTTAAAATAAGATGAACTGTCGATTATTAAATATTAATTGGCAAGTATACGAGTTTGAAAAAATTCTCGACTAGAGTTCGATTATTTGATTTGATTTGATTAAATTTTTTTGTATTCCTAAATTCGACTACTCGACTTACAAATATCGAGTATCTACTCTACGGTTTTATTGAAAAATAGGTAAATGAAAAAACTATAAACACCTCGAAAACTCAATATTTCACATCAGCGGTCAAGCCCAATATGATATTAGGATAAATATCATAGTTAGATCTGTGCGTTTTTCATATTTGCTCGGAAAAGACATAGAACAATGTGAATAATTTATGAATAATAAATACCATGGGACGTTTACTACAGTTTCACAGGATTGTCGTAATTATAGAGCCAAATGAAATATGTAATAGGCGCTGCGTGGTCACCACCTGACCATTTCCGGTTTGTTGGCAACAACTGTAACAATATAGTATAATTAAGTTGCGAAAGAATTTTTTTATCATAAAGATTCTGGTTGTAAAATGACCATGCGTATCTTGAATGCAAAGCGGATTAAACCATTTTTATAAGGATGACAGAACCTTAGACATATGATCGACGAAAAGTCGCATTGGGTAGAGAGATGAGTATAGATCAGTAG